GAAAGGCCAATATTGACAGCAGTTTGGTTTTGATGGAATATTGCTTGTAGTGGAAAGGTAGAGCCTTGGTTCCACCAAGCCATTTCTCTGATGGCCCACAGGTCTGTTGGAGAGCGGTCTTTGCTGCTGGGCAGTGTCTGAAGGCAGCAGGAGCACAACAGCATGAAGGGGAGGTCAGGAAACCCACCAGGGTTTGATACAAATTCTTACCTCACTTCACCCCCTTACTTCCTGCAGCATTTCACTAAAGAAGCAGAATAACACAGAGTAGAGATTAATTGAAGTAATAATATACCGCCATTGTTTCTAACTGTATTTCAGAGACTTCTCCCTACCTCTGCAGCCTTTTCATTGCTGTCAGATCTCACCCAGCTTTAGCTGGTGAAATCTCCTCATTTGCTTTAGCATGAGGTATATCAGAGCCATGCCTGCGATGGTCCAGAATAAAAGCAGAAGTCATTTTGAGATGGAGCCATCCCTCTGAGTTAAAATGAAGTGTTATCATGTGAGTGAAGCCAAGGATTTGCAGCATGAAGGTTAGTGCTAGAAGTAGGCCTTCCATAATAAAAGGTAGATAGGCTCTCCCAATTAATTACTTCTTTTCACCTTTTTATATACTATAATAAATTCATATAAAGTAGAACTGAAAGAATAGAGAATTCTAAGTATTATTAATATACATTGCATATTAATAGCTACAGGCGTTAACTGCAAAATAATGCTATATCTTACAACATATATATCTGGATCTTATTTTCTGCATCCATAGCATTAGAGCTTACCTGTATGGATATTGCAATTTTAGGATAATATTACATTAAAACTATGGTAAACAACATCTTGCCGCTGTGATTACAGAGTCATCTGCTCCAGGGACGTGAGTTTCCCACATTGTATGGTTGCAAAGGGCTAATCTGTGTTAAAAGGCAAAGAGTTGATAAGGAAGAGCAGATGAGCAGCCAGGTTTTGGAGAGTGCCCAGATTCCCCACCTGAGAATGCAGCAGGGAGTGGGAGTGGGGTGCACCCACCCCTGTATTGCCAGAGGGAAGGCATATTTTCCCTAGGTCCAGCTTCAGGTGGATGCCCATTTCTATTCACACGGTACCTAAAGAATACAGGACTAAGTGACTTTATACTCCTTTATTTCAAGAGTCTGCCTGCACAAGGTGTTTGTCTCCACCACCTCCTGTGGCCGAGCACTGGATTCTGTTGGAAGTGGGAGGGTTGTCCTGGGTCACTTGGGTCCCTTGGGTGACGTGTCCTGGCCTCTGCCCTTCTGCCCTCCTCTCTGGGAGCCAGCACACACTGTGCCCTGCGTTCTGATCTCCCATCAAGGACGAAATCCATCTCATCTCAGAGCAGTACAGTAAGAAAAAAAAAGAATCCACATAACACAAATACGGTTGCACGTTCTGGCAGAATAAAAACAGCCAATTAAAAATTTTCAGTTGCAATGTTCATTGAAAAATCTCATCTGTGAACTTGGAAGTCCACATTTTTTTCACCAAAATGTTCCAACAGCTTTGAGTTCTTCTTTTTCCTTACAATTTAAATTATTTTAGGTTGTTAAACAGTTTTAAGACATTGCACAATTCTTTATTATCTACTGTAATTGCTGTTCAATAGTGTATAAACTATTTAAAATAAAAGACTAATAACCATAAAATGTAATAATTTTCTAAGATGGTATTGCCTTTAATGCTAGAACTGTTTGTATATGTGACTTCATATGTAAAAGCAAAAGCAGTATAAAAATAAATCATAAGTTAAATTTCAAATTGAACACACTAAATTAAATTACCTAATGAAATATTCTTTTGAGTTTCTGATTTATTATTAAATACATAACTTCTAGTAAGTTATAGAAGGGTAGTTCTTTTGTATCTTTTATCTAGTATTTTAGATTAAATGTGTATTTTTATTCCATAAATTGGTAATCTAATTTAGAAACAAAAACTATTGCAAGTCATAAATAATTGAATTTTTATAATTCTAAATAAATTCTACCCAATTCCTTAAATCTAAGTAATTTACTTCTCAATTTACAAATTTGCACAGATCTAGACTGTCTATCCTCCTGGCCACTTTGCCAAATTTAGAATTTACTGGGATTTCTTCCTAGTGCAAGCAGTAAAAGTGTTGTTCCCAAAGGGCAACAGAATTAGACCTTGGGATCGAGCCCTATGTGAGGTTAGAGAATTTGTGATTTCCCAGAGCAGCTCTGAAAAGGCAGTCTGTTCCATTGAGATGAGAAGAAAATCTTTATTTTGGTCCTTAGAAAGTTTCCAGCCTGCCCAGACTGACCTTCCTGGGGACATTCCATTTCTCAGGTAATGTGAGCCATGAAATAATGGTCCAGAGGAGCTCTTGGGCATTAAGGAACGTTGTGAGGGACACTTGGGAGCAACTGGGCTCTTGTCTTGTGTCTCTTTTGTCTGTAAGTACACAGAACTTTTAAAATGGTGACAATATATGCAAAGAACGGGGTTGTGATTTGGTTTCCTTCACAATCTAGAAGCTGTAAGAGCTGTTAATTGCTGGGGGGAAATCACCAGATTTCAGATTCTGCGTGAGTGAGCGATGGGTTGTGGCCCACGGAGAACCTGCAGGTCACAGACTTTGGTAAAGGAAACACTTTGTGTGGAGGATCATTGAGTGAGAACGTTTTTACCTTTCAGATTAATCAAACAACAAAATGGTCATGAAGCAATGTCTTCCTTACTGAAATGTTAACTTTTTATTAGCTTATCAGCTCTTTGCACTTGTAAGAGTCATTTTGGGTATGGTATTGAAACAAAGCTTTAAAAGGCAATTGGAACATCCAATTTTCTTTACTCCTGTACATGATGATGTGCTCCTAATACAACAGATCACACAGACATAATATTTCTGACATATTTATTTTCTACAACTGTGCTTTTCCCTCAAAATACTTGTTTTCCGTTATGATAATATTTACTTCATATGCTGCAGTTAAAATACAGCTTTAAATATATTTGTTCAGATTCTTCCTTGGTGTAAATTTATGTACAGCTTCTGGCTTATGTTTGTAACCACCAAAAATCACTCGTGCTGCAATACCCAGGGTTTTGTTAACTGCCCCAGATTAAGGCAATACATTATGACCATGTGAATGTATTTTGAAGACAGCTCCTTTTTGTAAGTAAGGTGGTAAATTTTAATCTGATGGGTATTTTGCTGTGGTGCTCAGAGTCTACATGTTCTAAACTCCATACATTCATTTTCTGCTCTCCAATTACTGTATATTGCCTAAAGGCTTGTGTATGTGTAGCAGTGCACACATTTATGCAATGTGCCTACCAGCTGTAAAATATTACAGTGCTATATTAACTCTTTTTATTGAAAGTAAAGACATTTTTACTGTATAAAGATCATTGAATATTTTTAAATTAACATGACTGACTATCTAAATGTGTATGTTATTTCATAGATCACTTTGATTTAGTATTTGCAGCAGGCATGGTTTTGTACATTATGTCCTTCCTTCTCCTCTTTACTTCAGGAACACTGTCAAGTTTTCTCTTTTTCTCTGTGACTAAAATTATCAGAGTTTATGGGAATTTGCTTATTTATGAAAATGAACCCGGCTATTTTATTACTTTCATCTGCAATAATTAGTGTACCAACTTTACGAATTATACGACATCTTATTTTTGCTTCAAGCTTCTCTTTTATTTTATGGATATTATAAAAGGTTGAGAGAATTTCTACCCTGAGTCTAAAGTTTGACCTGTTAGTGAATTTCAGAAACCAATGGAGTCTAAAACAGATTTGCCATTAGTGTTACTGAGGATTTATTTTGACCTGGAGCATTAGACCTCTTTATTTATTAAAACTGCCTAATACTTGCTGCTTTCAGTTAAATAATAATTTTATAAGGTGTGATAAGGAGCACAATCCAGTAAAGGAAAATGAATCAATTTTTAATCAGTCTTCTACTTTCTTTGTTGTCAAGTCGTTTATATAATTAATGACTATAAAGTTATATCTTTAAGATTTCTGTTCTGTATCATCAGTGTTTTGAAACACATACATGCACCTTCTAGTCTAATACCAAAGAGAAAAACAGTTCATGGGAATGTTGATTTCTTTACCTGTACAGGCTCACTTAGACGTTTTAATAAGTAGAACTACATTAATACAATATGCAGGTAACATAATGCAGCAGTAGTCTTTATTTTTGCTGGGATAAGATCAAAATGTGCAAATCCATGTAGAGAAAAGCATTAGTAAGCTTCAAATGTGAACCCACAATGAATACAGTATTATTTATGAGAATTAAAGTTGGTTCTTAAATCAGAAGTGGTGTTTGTTTGCTATGAATGAGACTTTAAAAGATAATTTTTTTTTCCTCAAAAGAAACAGCAAACAGGGAAAAAATTTTGAAAATACTTGTTTTTAAATCAGCTGGATAAAACCTGTGTACCTTTCCCATGGATAAGAAACAACAAGTAAGTGTTGGACATTCAAAATCCTACATGTTATAAGGAAAATTTTTACACTTTTAGTACAGTCTTACCTTGATTTAATCCAGTGAAACCTGCAGGAGGAATTAGAAGATTCATTTAAATGAATGTATTTGCACTACTGTGATTACAGAGAAAGTGAAGCCCAGCTCACGTCCAAATTTTTTGTTGCAATCCAAGTCAGATTTAGCAGCCTAAGTAACTTGACCCCAAACCTTCTTGCATGCAACAGACTCCTCTATAAATGGCTTTGATGTCACCAGAGTGACAAGAATGACAGTGGAATCAGTGAAATCTCTCCTCCCTGCCAATAATGCCCACTGAAGCAATCACTGTAGGAGATGCTGGAAGGAGGAAATCTGAATTGGACAATGCCTAAATCATACTTTTTTGTGGCATTTTAAGTGGAAATGGAACCTTACTTGCATTTTTTTGTTTATACATCTACAGGTGTGCATGTGTGTGTTTGTACTCATGTACCAGGCTACTGGTTTAGGATTCTTTTTTTTTCCTAGGCGTAGTTAAGTAGTGGTAAGAATATCTTATTTCAGATGTACATAGCAGAAGGGAAGAAATCATTGAAGAAAGGAATATTGACACAGAATAATTAGGGAAAAAAAGTGGTTGTAATATAATGAACCCATCTTTTCCTCTTGAGGGTGGAGGGAAGTTGCATAAAGTTATTTCACTTGCTTTTTATTGGGTGGCTCTGCTTTGTATCTTTTCACCGCTGAAATTAGCAGTGCTGCTTGCCTCAGCTGGTCTGTCAATCCATCAGTGTCAAAAAAAAAAAAAAAGTCAGGTTAGCAGGAGAAAATCTGCATACCATTTGCTCTTAATAAAGTCCCTTTTCTCTGTGGAGAAATTATTCATGGAACGAACCCTCAGTGTGGAAAATAAGCCCGTTGGTCTCCCTGCCACTGCCTACAGCTGCATGTTTGCTCACCTTTTTTGAACTTGTCATTCTCCAGGAGCAAAAGAAATGAAAAGGAAGTTATTTTTTTCCAGTGTTACCAGTTGAAGAAGACTCAGGTCTCCAGATGGATTTCCTCAGCTCTGTTGGATGTTGGTGCAGTTGTCTGCTCATGGCAGAGGTCAGTCAGGACTCTGTTCTTGAAGCTGTAAGAGGACACTCAATCTGAGATGGTGGGGTATTTTGTGGTTTATTTTCCATAAAGTGATGTGGGCCATGGGATGTGTTATTGGTTAATAAAAAAGGAAAAATGCTATTAAGGTTGTAAAAAGCAGATTAAATAGAAGCTACATGTTGAGGTGAGATACAGAATGTCGATCACAAAAGGTTTCATGAGGCAGTTGTGTAAGGTAAGAAATTGAGAATGAATAAAAAGAGCAGTAGTAATAGTATTTTACATACAATGTAAAATACCCTTACATAGACAACATCTGTGCAAGAAAAAGCAGCCTTGATTCACCAGTCAAGTACTGGGAGCTGAATTTTGGGCAGCAGGTTGTTGAGGGAAGCAGTGTTGTGTGGGACATAGGACAGTATGCACAGGAGGAGCAGGAATTACACTCTGAAGAAGGTCTTGAAGGACAATAGAAAGTTGTTTTACTTTTGGAGGGAAAGGAAAGGCAGGGATGAGGGGGGTCAGACCTGCCAATATTCAGGAGCTGGATGGGGGAGTAAAGAGCTACAAATGAGGCTGGGTGGAGGGGAAGCACTGCTGCAAGACTTCTTAAAGGCAGTTTCCATAAACTCTACTCAAACCTGTAGAAGTTAGTGATAATTAATCTCTAGAACCCCCCTGCCTCCTTTTTATTCCATTATCCTGGGGGGGTACTGTTGCAGCATTTCTGAGAGAGAGAGGGCATGATTTATGTTTGGAATGAGATTTGAGCTACTCCAGCCTAGGCCTCAGATCTGGGCCTTGTGAGGCCTTCCAGCCTGTGACGCAGTTAGAAATTAAGAGTTTGTGGCGCTCTTAGAAATTGTATTAAGGTGTGATGGGGAGCACTGGGCTGTCTGGGTGTGAAGTAGTTTAGGTTTATAGTGTGAGGTTTAGGCCACCTTAAGACAAAGACAAACAATGTTAGCTTACTAATGAGAGTGCCTTTGTAAACTGTAAACTATATAGAAGTGTATATAGACTTCCATCTTCTCTCAAAGGGAGAACGTTGCATTAATCATATTGGTTGGATGTGTGTTCTGTCCTGCCCAGCTTTCCCGTTATCTGAGGTCCCTGGTCACAGGGTACTTGTACTTTTAACCCCAGGATGGTGAGGGCTGGGTTTTCCTGCCCCAGCACTGTGCAGCATTAGCATGGGCTGTGGCATGCAGGAATCCTGCAGTAGCTCGGGGACTAATTACCTGGGAAGGCTAAAGACACAAACAGATATTTGGAGTGTTTTTCAATTGCAGGGAAATACAAGTGGAGGCCAGGGCAGGGCATGGGTGAGAGGTTTGACTTGAGATGGGGGTGTATCAGGCTCTGTGTGCTGCTGTGTCACAGTGTCACATCAAAGCTGCCTCTCCATCTTCAATTATCATGCAGGGTTTTGAGATTTGGAGGGGCTGAGAGATGCAGCAGCAGGAGCAGCTAAATGTGACACGATTCTCCTCAAATGCTGCAGCTCCCCAAACATCCCTCTTTGCAAGATGTTTTTAAATGAAACTGCATGCCTTTTGATGGCAGTGAAGGCTGAGACCCCTTTCCAGGGAGCGTGGCTGTCTGGGGAGCTGTTGGCTGCTTTTCATCTCCACCTTGCAATGGGGAGGAGCAGAGCAGGGCTGAGCAGATATTGCCAGCCAGAGAGTTTTGTTCTGAAGCACTGTATATGATTCTAGCAATGGGAAAGCAAAAGCCTAGTGGTCATCAGGGATTCCCTGTCTGAAATTCAGTGGCCTCATGGATGGAGAAAGCTCCATAGAATAACTTGCAAGCTTTCTTTTCATCTTTTAAATCCATAATGCATGTATATACATATTGTTAATAATTCATATTAATGGAGAGCTCTTGCCCAAGAGCACATTCCCCTATCACAGAAAATAAATTGTTTAATGATGTCTAGGATAGAAATCAGAGGCTGGCTCTAAATCCAGATATTACAGAACAGTACTAGACATGCAGTGCACACTTCCATAAACAAATAAATTCATTACAGTTTAATAACAGTGGAAATAAAAAATGTAAGGTAATTTAAATAATGTGCAAAATAGAGCTATATTTTATCCTAAAGCCATAATGCCAAGTACTTACATTCTCAGGAATTCTTGAAAGCCTTCAGGGCTGGCCTTAAGTGCAGGTAAACAATAAGGTGGAATTTTAATGTTATCATCATGACCTAAATTTACAGGGAGGCAAAATTTAGTTTTGTGGTGGTAGTTGTCCAGGCCTGGGTGTTAGATGGAAAAGTGTCTGGGAATGCTCATTTTGGTGCTGGGTCCCTCAGTAGGTTTAGGTGGCACGATGCAGAGTAGTGGCTTCTGGGATTTGAGAGCAAAGGACAGGATCTGCAGAGCCTCAGTGCCACTGAGGAAAAGCAGGGTTTGGAGATGCCAGGGGTGCATTGCAGAGGTGGCAAGGAAGGTGAGGAGGAGAAACAGGACTTACAGGCTCAAACTGTAGTAGTCTTGCAGTGAAATTTTGCCAGTTGTCTGCTCTCTTTGATTGTTGGCTAATTTAAGCACCTTATTTTCATGTATTTTAAAACAAAATAAATAGAGGAATTTATTTCTTGTTTAGAAATGGGTAATAACAGGAGATTCAGCAGTGTCTGACTTTTTGTTTTTCTGATCCCAGCAATTGAAATATTCCTTATAATGGTGAGAGCTCACTTAGCTGGGTTGTGTCCTGTTCTGCTGGTGTTTTCCCTGGGAGTGCTTCTCTGCAGTGGATTACTCCTGGCCATCAGAAAAAAACCTACCAGGTGACCCAAAGTGCTCATGTTTTACATATTTTCCTTATTCCCTGCAGTTTCATGGATCTACAATACATGTGGACTATTTCAGTTGGGTGTTGTGTCAGACTGGGAATTTTCCATGGTGATTCTGTTATAAATATTTGTGTTCACTCTGTGATTGTTCAGCTTCAAATAATTTTTTCTTGTCCTATTAAATGGTTGTTCTTTTTCACAGAATGGTCACATGCATTTTTCCCTGGGGCTGAATTAGGTGCTTCTCTAGGTGATGGGTAACTCTTTTATGCTGTGATAACAACACTGTCATCCTGTGAGAGGGGCTCTTTCCTGGCCAATGTTCTATTAAAATAGCAATAAGCTGGTACTGGTTTGACTTGAAACCTGCATATCCTCATCTGCAACATCTGTATCTGATTGAGCTGCTCTGAATATGTATTTGTAACCTGAACGCATCTCTCTCAGTGAGTTTTTGAATCTCAAGCCAGTCTGGATTTTGAATTCAGGATATTCAAGTAGGCCTAGATTTGACACTTTTGGGGTCTGATTGGAATTTCTGGAGCCATTCAATGGTTCTGAAGGCTCTTTCTGAGACTGCTAAGAACAATTTGAACGTTCTCTTTCCACAACCCTATCACACTGATCATCAGCCTCACAGACTCAGCCACACATCCCAAGCATACCATATCTGTGTACTAATAACTATAAATGGGATCTCAGCCAGTAATTTTCCTAGAAGATCTCACCATACCATCCTGGAGTAACTGAATTTGGTAATTTTAAAAATGCTGGTTATATTATCTTTCTTTTAAAGTCTGTGTGGCCATTTGCACATTCATTCTTCTTTCACAAGCAGGAGAGATTTTGAGAACTGGCTTTTTCTTTATGTTTTTCAAAGAGAACTAATTTTTTATTCAATAATACATTTTTTCTTTCAAATCATCCAGAAATTTTAGTATACTTGCTCTGTTATGCAATAAGAAAATGACTGTTTATCCCAATGGATATTTTTTCAGGAAAAAAAGAAAAAAACTCTTTGCTTCTTTGAGGGCTTAAACATGAATTTTAGTTTCCTCTCAACTCTGTCTTGTGATGCTCCTTGTCAGATTAATGTGTTTTAAAGCTGTCAGTTGGTACCTGAGCTGTCAAAAATGAAGATTAACACCACACCTTTCATTTGGAGGAATCATTTTGCATTGCAAAATGCAGAGGAAGAGAAAGAAAACCTTTCCTGCTTACTGCTGGCATGCATCTGAGGCTTGCTGCGTGTGCCATTCTGGTTATGTTTTGGGGTTAGAAAGCAATTTCAGTTTCTGTCAGCCTGGGTATTCACACTAGAACAAATTCAAGATCCTGAAATAGTTTTTATTTTCTGAGGAACAGAATGTACAGAAATGAAGGGTCATGGGTTTGATTTTTATCTCAGGCACAAACAGGGCGTGTGACTTGGGACAGAAATAATTTCTCTCTGCTTCCTTCAGGAGAGTGGAACTGTTGCATTTGCCTTCTAATTATGTGGATACACTTTATACAGTTAATAAGTAGATGACATATATCAACTTTTTAATTTTCCTGAAGTTTTCAGCTAGGGAATGAGAAAGAGACAATGTTTTTAATACTAACAAAATCACTCTGTATTCTTTTCAGATATCGTTTCAGAAGAAATTACTGTGCAAATCCTCAGTATATTTTTTACACAAATTGAAATAATTTCTGAAAGAAATACAGGTAATAACCCTTGAATTCAAGCAACAGGGAGGCATTCTGCAGCAGCTCCCTTTGGTCCCACGTTTAATGAGACCATCAAGGCTGGCTAAGGCCCATAAACACTGCAGAGGTTTGGAGTGATTTTGTTCACCAGTGCCACTAATCCTGATTTAAATCAATTTTTCAAAACTGGGTCCTATTCTCCTCTCAGTCTGAGTAATAAAGTGCATTCAGGGGAGATGATGCACATGAGACAGTGCTGCTCATGTCATAGGACTTGAAGAATAATCCAGGACTATATATTTCTCTGATGTTTCAGTTAGTTTTTAAATGATTCAGCCATCATTTTGGCTATGCACTTATTATGGTAGGTGTTTGATTTTGATCTAATATGTTCTAAAGACTTTTAAGACCGCTTTTTTGCAGTTTCTTAAAGTAAGAGCCTGTTCCACTCTCAATGACCATAAAAAACTCACTTTTCTGGATATGGCTATATCACCATATCTTGCAGTCAGGTCAGTGGAGCAAAAAAAAAACTGATGTGGGCAAACAACCTGGAGGAAACAGTGAAATCAAAAAACAGCAGGTCCCTATGCACATATGATAGATAGGCATATTTTAATGAAAAATTACATGTGTAAAATACAGATGTTAATTTGCCTCTGTTCTTGTTTTGTTCAAGTTACAAAATATGCCAATTTTTCTAAAATACCAATTAGCAAAACAATAAAAAAACAACCAAAACAAGAGATACTCTTACTGTTACTGGCAGAATTCATCGTCAGAGTGATTTGTTTCACTGGGATATAATGAAATAAACTGGCTTTTTGGGTAAGGTTTTGGCTGCTTGAAGTCAGTAACCCACTGCTCATTTTCAGTGTGTGTTTTTGTAGGTGCTGTGTAGGAAAGGACAGGCTGACAACAGATTTTCAGAGATACTATGTTGGATTTTGCTGATAAAAAGGCAATATTTTGGATCTTATGAATAATTGGATCTTATAAAGAATCATTATCTCAATTTTGATATGTCCCACAATTTTCTCAAATTGCTGTTAAGTGCAAAATAAGATAGTAATTGAATTAATTGGGGATTTTTGAAGAAATATTTATTTTTACATTGAGCATGATGACCAATGATTTTCTTTGTGTGTGCAATAGGTCATTTCTATGTGCAGATTTCTTCCAGACTGAAAAAATGACAACCAAAACTGTAAATGCATTTGGACCAGGTCACATTGAAAAAAAGTGAAAGTATGTTCATTTATGCAATATATAATTTCCCTTTCTCCTTCTGTCCCAGGTGGGTGTTTGACAGGATGGAGAATGCCTGGTTACCATAGGAATGCAACATGCAAGGAAGCTTCTAAATAGAAAGCAGTTAATGTAACTAAACCTCTTTTGGTATCACTGCCTAATTCCTTTCACCTACAACATTTAAAAGGCAGATATTTGGAAATAAATTTTACCTAGAAAAATTAAAAAACCCTGAGGAAACACCTGGAGCAAAGGCAAGTGTGATTCCAGACACGTGTAAATGTGCAGCTCAGAGGGGTTGAGTGTTTTTATCTTTGCAACAACCTGCTCTTACAAGACAGATACAATTCCTGCCAGCGAGTGGGTGCTACGGAGTTGATGGGATCTGAGCAGGCTTTTCATGCCCATTGCCCTCTACTCTTCATTAGCTCTGCTCTTTCATGATTAATGTGCTCCCTTGCAGCAACCTTAATTGTTTTTTTGAGGGTAGGAAGAGTGATCATAATCGCAGCTGTTATGAATTTAATTCCAATCTGCAAAGAGACTGCACTGTAAGCAAACGTTTTCATTTGGAACACTTAAATCAATGGTTTTCAATTACAAATCGAGAACACAGTAGCTGGAAACGTTCCTTACCAGAGGGTAGATCCTACCCCTATTAGTCACTCACATTGCCTATTGTTCAGGCATTCACAGTTGAAATTGTGAGCTCCAGAAATAAAGGATGCAGTATCTAACAGAAAACATTCCAGTTGTGGATGATCTCTAATTGATGAGTACAGATAAAAAAAGCAGCAGCTTAGGTGGCCATTTTCTCTTGAGTGCTTTGCCATAGAATGGCATTTGGGCTACAAATGGAGTGGACAGCCTTCTTTCTGTCCTCCTTTCTTCTTCCCTGTGTTCAAGTTTTGTGTATCACAGAGGTTTATTTCTACAGTATATGCTGCTCTTTGTTGTTGTTTGAACTGTTGGTGTTTATTTCTTTTTTTCTGTTCTTCCACCCTCAACTTACAGCAGGTGCAATTCTTTTGTGCCTACACTACATCCTGGCAATGCCATGAGGGAACCTTCAGGGATGCAGCTGCTGATTATGGCAACGTATGAGGAGAAATCCCATCCCTTTAAGGAACACATAACCAGGAGCACAACTTCATTAAAGCAATTTCACTTAAATTCAGCTTCTCATTGTGAAATTCAGAGTACAGAGACAATACCAGCAGTAGAAAAAAGGATGAAAACTCCCAGTTGAAGTAATGCCCAGAAATTGCATTCACTCAGTGCCAAGGACCTGTGGATGGCTGAAGTCTAACAAAGCTCTTCACTGAGCTAGTTCAGGTAAGTACATTTTACATATGAGTAAAGAACATTTTGTGTAATTTTTCTTGTGTTTCCTCCTAGATATTTGGGGTGACAGTGCAAACATTCTGTCTTATCAAATTAACTGTTTACTCTAAATTTTCTCATGAATTTAAGGAAGCTGCTTTTGAATTGTGGTGCTGTTCGCTGTCAATGCAACCAGTGATGGGTGTCTGTAGTAAATGCCTTATTGTCTGTATATCACATTACACTGACACTTCTGTCTACATATCTGGTCACCTGTCTGACAGGGCTCTATCTACTCTTTGAATTTTGTAGTGACAATGGAATGTTAAAGAGGATAAAATACATGTGTGGGTTTGTATTTAGATACACATTTTCACATCACTTTCAGTCAGTGAATCATCATTAAAAAAAACCAAATTGCAAATACTTAGAACTAAAATCAGCACAGCTGCCTAAATATATATATATTAAATGCTCTAAAGGAAATTGCACTCATATGCCTGACTTTTTTCTTAATATAACAGCATCCAGGTAGTATAATGCTGCATTTTCCAATTATGAAGAATAACAGAGCTAACCAGGATGACTGATTTCAGGCACTTGTGCTTATGTCCCACTTTATCCTACATTATTTGACAGGAGAGTCCTGCCAGTAACAATATAGACAAGACCTTTTTCTGTTGGTTGAAAAGACAGATCATAAAATATATGGTGATGTGAATTGTTATGTACTGTGGCTAATACTGGTTCAGTATAAACTGTTAGGGTTTGTCATTGATGAAACAGTTCTGGTGGGTTTTAGAATGTGTAGGAAACATTGGTAAATATTTATCACATTATATATATTTTTTTATATATATAAATAATTAAGAATCATATGGCTATCAATGAATCAACGCAAACATTTCAAAACTTGTGAGAAAAGCCACACTGCCCTTGTGTTGCTTTTACCTTTGGAGTGATGTGAAACCATTTCTCAGTGACATAAAGAAACATTGCTCAGCATTGCAGGGTGGCATAATTTAAAGCCTTAATTAAACATGTATGAGGGAAGATTAAATCCATTTTTTAAATGTTATGTCATTTAAAATGTATATTTTATTTAGTAAATTTGCTATTAATTTTAATCCTAGTGATAAAAATATATTGATAGCATTTAAATTAAAATTTCTGTTGAAGAAGCTCTACATAGAAGTGGGGTGGGAGGTTTTGGGTGTTTGGTTTTGGTTTGCCTTAAGGGTTTTATGGCAAGGGGGTGGGTGTGTGGGTTTTTTTTCATTCATGTGGTAATGACTAAAATTACTCAGAGTGGTGGTAGAATATCCATGCTTAGAGGTTTTCAGGACTCAGGTGGACAGAGCCATGGCTGACCTGCCAAGTTGCATGGAAGACCATTGATCCTGGTGATTTCATTAAAGGTGCACTGCTAAAGATCAGCCCAAACAGAATTGGGATCACAAGGCACAACTGAATCATATCTGTGGAGCAGGGATAAATCAGCAGCTCCATTAAGCCCTGTGACTGCCAACTGACAAAAAAAATCAAAACTAAAATTCAGGTTTGGTCAATGGCATTCAAATCCCAGATTATTTTCCAAATTAAGAAAGATTTTACCCAACTCTGTGTATTTTCCTTCACTTTTTATCACTGTTACAAAAATCACTTGTAAAATTCTGAAGTAGGGGAAGGACAGGTGGCTGTGTCTAAAGACACATGGCAAGGCATAAAATGTGAGAATTTTCCTTCTTTGTGTAGTTACCAGTAACTTAATCCTTCTTTCCCTTGGTGCACTGTTACCATAGAACATTTTTTTTTTTCTGCTTTGCTTTTAATAGTTTAAATTCATTTTTGGCAACTGACATTTTTTTAATCTCTCTAGATTTCATCAAAGGTTGATTTGTTCTTAAATAAAAACCACAATTATGCTACATATTTATTCACTACATCAAGTGAAACCTTTTCACTTTTAGATGTTTGGGGGAATTATTAGTTTTATTGATTATTTTTCAGTTAAATTGTATTCTATCAAATTGAATGGGTCAAAGGTTTTCAAAACCCTTTTGTTCATTCAAGTAATTTAAGATGCTGTTCAGTTACAGTGGCAGAACTGTTCTCACTTTGGTTCAACATCTCAAGTTTCAAGTTGTTCTCCTGGTCCCATTAGATCATCTTATTGATTTGCCAGGCATTGATTTACTGGCTGCTCTGCCAGCAGCTATAAGAGCACAGTTTGTTTGTAGTCTTAAAAAATATTCCCAAACCCTGCTCACAGATTAAGTTTGAGGAATAGGCTCCATGGATTTCAGTCAGATTTCTCTTTAAAAATATTTCTGTGTAGAAAAAAAAGAAAATGTATTTAATGTTAGTTGCATTTCCCACTGATGAACAGCTTAGGCAAAGAAATTGGAATTAACAGATTCATCTTAGCCCAGTAACGCATTATTTTTTTTTTTTTTATTTTTTTTTTTTTTTAGTTTTAGTTTGCACATGCATCAGTTTTCTAGATGTAATTGTATTCAGGCTTTTCATTTTAGTACAAAACAAACACGCTTAGACTTTTGCCTGAAGTTGCAAATATTTCTGTGCGGCACAGATGTGTAAGACAGAGATTGCTGAGCGGGCAGTTTGCAGTGGAATTCTCTGCAGACCCCTGCAGCAAGAGGCCCCACAGTTCTTCATCAGGGAAATGAGCAGGTCACTGGAAAATCCAATAACTCTGTCTCCCCTCTGTTTCCTAGAGCAGCTTTCCCTTTTTTTGTCTCCTAGTGAAGTGACAGAATCTGTGTGAACATGGGAAAGCGTCTCCAGGCCTCCACTTCCCCGGTGACCCTTCACTTGGAAGTGCCCAAAACCAGGGTGTGGATGTGGCACTTGGGGACATGATTTCGTGTTGAGCACAAAATCATCTTAGAGGTCCTTTCCAACCTCAAGTGATTTTATGATTCAGGGAAAGGTGTTAAAATAACGAATTTCCTCCTTGCATGTTGATCTGCCTCGTGGAAAGAAACTTGGAAACCTTCAGCATGTTATTTTGATGTGTCAGTTGTGCTCTAAATGCATTCTCTCTGGCCATTGCAGACTTAAGAAAAACTGTCCAAGTTGAAAGAGGTTGTGAGACAGACAGGTGAAGGGTTTGTGTTCAGCCACAGCCTGAAGCAAAATGGACATTAGGGAGGCTGTTGAGGCAGGATGAAGGGAAGGAAGGAAAATATATCTGTCAGTTTTGATATAGAGATGGTGGTGGGTTTGGGGGATTCTAGGCTCACTTCCATATCTGACTGTAGGAATAGAAAAATGAAGTGTTCACAGAGTATTGGTTTTGTTCTTTAAAGTCAAGCAAGGTATGACAAAGCACCCAGGAAGCTTAGGGAATAGAAACCTCTTCGCCGTAAAGAAACACACTTCTCAGAGCTGCAAAGTGAGCCAATATTGAAAGTTCCCAATGGCTGAAATCAAGACAAGTGCCAAAAGTAAATGTAAGTACATAAAGAAAGGGGAAATACCAGAATCACTGAGCTCTCAGGACACGTGGCAAGCACAGAAGGATGAAAGCTCTCGACTGGTAATAGCCAGGATATAAACTATCCATTCCCCATATTAAGCATTTTGCTACTGCAGTGCTGAGCCTTTTGTCACTTTTTACAGAAGCACTGATTATCTGGCATGTAGAATACCCTTATTTACCATATGTGTTCATGGGCTGTCTTGTCTTTGTTGCTGGTTTAGTGTACCAACCTTCCTGCTATGTTATTGTCATGTCAACTTTAATTACTCTGCTTTTAAATGCTTACTACAGCAAAATGACTTTGCAGTGGATTAGTGTTTACGAGTATCCACATTCATAGTACATTCTCTGACTGGTGCATAACATGCTTTTGATTCAACATTTAAAATGTCAGATTTGGGGCTTTTATGTCTAGAAATGAGTATTTTATTATTTAATCACTAAAGACAGCTATGCTTTTATGAATATAACTTTATATGTGGGAAATCTTATATTAATGCAAAAAGAATATCTTGTTCTTAACATCAACTTTTAAGTTTTATAACAGTAAATTTATAAGCTTACTTAAAGGGACAATCCTTTATTAAAAGTTTGGTGAAGAAGCACAGACCAGCCCTTGCTGCAAGAGGGTGCACATGTGATAAGACATGCTTATAGCCAAGATGAGCCATAAATAAGAATAGTTCTGCATTGATGCTTTTGTTTGAGAATTCCCCAAGACTCATTACAATAAAAACTGTGAGTTATCTTTGGTACAGAATTTCCTAGTTTTTCCAGACAATGGAGCTTTTAGAATTTTAAACGTTTCTTATCAACTTGCCAAGAGGAAGCTCTGCTGTGATTACTTATAATGCAAATATAATCTGCCCACAGCTTTGGCCAAATTCCTCCATTAAGAATAGAAACAACTGTACCTTGCAGTTCCCCAGTGTCTCATTGAGCTATTAGCTCTGTCTTCCCACTACATTTCGTACCTGGAAGCGTACTTTTAAAAATAACCCCTAGTTCCAATGCCAGTCTTCAATAAAAGTTTCTTCCATCCTTTTAGTTTCCTGCCTCAGGAAGGATGGAGAACCCAGTACCACATATAGGGAAAAATCTGGGAGCACAGCCAACAGCAGCAGCAGAAATGAAAGCCAAGCACCACCATTCCAACCAGAAAAATTCTTCCCTCTCCTGCCATAGGAACCTATAAAGGCCCTTGGAAAGCCTTGGAATCAGGGCTTTCCTGAATAACACACATCTGTGGGTTATTTACCTTGTGTTTGGTGTTGCTGCAGTAAGTGCACAGTAGTCACTTGTGTTTGTTTCTTTTAAATGCAAAACTGGAGTTATTTGGGTGCTGGTTTTTAGCTTCTTTTTTCTACCTCTGTCGAGGTTGGGATTGAAGGCACTTGAGACAATAGTTCACGTTCAGGCTTAGATGTTTATTTTTTCTTATCTATGTTACAAAATACCACCCAAACCCATGAAGAAAAAGGTAGAAGAAGGTGAAGAAGAACAACCTGCTTCCGCCCTAAAACCTCCATCTTGCTTCGTATATATTACTATATTCTAAAACTCCAAACTCTATTTTTTCCACCCTGTGATATTGCAAACTTCTAACCAACTACAAACCCGTAGTCCCAGTGCTATCAATCAATTTTGGAAGTCTTTTCCATGGCCTCAGGTCAAATGCAGGGCTGTCCTGGGAGTCAGAGTCTATCAGCACAGAAAGTCTAAAATTCTCAGCATCCAGAACCCTAACATCTGGGTTCTCAACATGGAAAACGGTAATCCTTTTTTTGTTTTTTTTTAAAGTTTTGTAAGGTGATGCTGCAAAGTTGAAATTGAAGGTATTCCCAGGTATCTTTATGGCCAAGTTCTCAAATTTGCTACGGTGAGCTGAAGCACCACTACTCACATTTTGATCAACCCTGAGAAAAAAAAAAACATTTACCGTGCTGGAAGTCTTATAAATGAGTATTTCTTTGTCTTCTGCAGCCATCCCTGTTTTGTGTTCTGCTGCCAGTAAGAAGCTTAACTTGCAGATAATTCGATGGAGCAGCGTGTCTGGGAACTGAAATTGTTCCACATTTCTGGCTGGCGGTGCGCGGCGCTCTCCGGGCTGGCGCGCACCATCTGCCGCCGCCGAGGTAACTCTGGGGATGCTCCTCAGATTGATTGCGCTCAGCCACGGCCGAGGCACAGGAAAAATAGAGCTCCTAATTGCAATTTACCAGGGATCTTGTTTAACTCTAGGAAGTGGTAATTCAGAAATGAATGGCTTTGGTGGACATCTTAGAATCTTTAATTAACAGATTACTCTATTAACACGCACATTGTTTTCCAGGTGAGTGAGATCATTTGCCCCTGGGGCTTTTTTTTCCATATGCCTTCTGTTCCTCCAGCGAAATATGTAACAAATTGAAGTATTCATTCTGATTACATAAAGCACATGGGTATACAATTATATGAAAAGAAAGATGACATTTGTTGCCTGCCTTCCCTAAGGCCCCTGCAGGCTTTGCCCTTCACTGAAAAAATAAGGCATAAAGTCATTAGAATACGTGCTTTTTTTTTTTGCACATTATATTTTTGGAAGGGTATGTTATTAAAGCAAAAGCCTTTACTAGAAACAATGGGATAATGATTCCTTACAAAGCAAATAAGACATTTTTCTAAAATAATACGTTTTTTTTCACAGAAGTTTTACATTCTTTCATATGTCAGTTATGTGACCATTTTGGAGCTTTTAGGAATGCATTTATTCAATGTTACTAAATTAATATAATAAATGTGTATTAAAGAAATTAAATATTCATGTAAGTATAATCAGTTTACTGCTTAATTTTATTAATCTTTTTTTCTCATTATTTTATGCTTTACTGAGCAATTAATCTACATTTGAATCCCTTTATATGTTTTACAGGGATACTTTCTGTACTGTGAAACAGTTTTTCAGCATGTAGTAGGCTGGAAGAACTAGTTCATTGAGATCTCAATATTTATTGGAGCATTAAATGAAACACTGGGAGAGAAAGTTAGATTGCATAACTAAAATGACAACATCTATAAATTATATAAAACCACTAGGAATCTTTAAAAATATATTTTTGTGGTGCAACATGCAGAGGAATTTATTTGGAAAGAGTTCAGAAAATGAATTTGAGGTAAGTCAGGAGTATGTGAAATAGTTGTGAAGAAGAGTTTACTTTGTTTTGTCCATCACGGGACTTGGATCTAATCCCTGTTGAAGTTCTGCTCTTTTATTCTTTATTTTGTGTCTTGGGGAATTTTTTCCTTCTTTCCTTCACCTAGCTGACTAAGACAAGGACTCCTGGATGTATCTAGACCTGGCCTCTGTCCCACTGGATTTTTTAGATGTGTTTTCTGGATATCTTGCAGAAATTCAGCCCAGGGAACTCGAACTTGACCCAAGCTCTGGTTCCTCACCTCTGCCATCCACACATGGGGATGATGGGTTGTGTCTGGATTCATGATAACAAGTGATTCCCTCTGCAGATAGTTTTACTGTTGCTGATTAAAAATGACTACATAAACCACTGTTTAGATGAAGACTATGTTGAATTGGGCTCTTTCCTACCAATACCTATTGGAAATCATGCAGGTGATCTTTCCAGTCTCAGCAAGAAAGCTGCCATCACTAGAGAAGATTAAACTACAAGACGCTGTGACCAAAAAAACATCCTGAAACCACAGACAGGAATTTTGACTTATTTTTCAGAACCTAAGCTTTCCATCATGCTTCAAGTAAAAGAACATTCCATGCCTTTTCACTGTTCTAAGCAATAGGGGAACATGCATTTGTGTGCCTGTGTATGTTTGTGAGCTTTTGTGTTTAAATTCAGCTACAGAAAATCTGTTTCTAGCATCAACAGTGCGTTATACATATTTCACATTGAGCTACTTTGTATTGCAGCACCTGCCTCCCTGGTATTTTGCTCTGGGAGGGCTATGATGAGTGCTATCTTCCATATTATTAAAGGATAACATGAGCATTTGCTGGCATGTCACTGTAGCAAACAATGACTTGTAGCTCCCTTGAAAATTCACACGCGTTTTATTGCTGCTTGAGAAAATAACACACATCTCCTCTGCAGTTCTAGTCATTTTCCTGATTGCTAAAGGATTTCCCCTCTATTACCTCTGCATTTTCTGTGTTGCCAGGTGTGAAATGAACAGAATCATAAAGTCAGGCTGTTTTGGAGAATAAAAACAACAGCACGGTCTGTGCTGCTGAAATTGCAGCATACTGAAAGTGGAAAAATGCTAGTAGCTATTGGCAAGCCAACATACGTGACAGATAGTAGAGTGTGAAAGACATATTTGCCAAGTCTTGCAATTAAAGGCAGTTAAAATATATATTACTGCCTCAGGAAAATATTTCATCTTGTCCTTAAATTTCAGTATATGCTAAAGTCACTCTGAACGCAATAGGACTGCTACACCTTGCTTAGAAGTAAATAATACTGATATTTAAATGTTCCTTAAGTATGGCTGGGCTGCCAGGATGTGACACATTTGCTAGCTGGAACAAGAGTTTCAGCAGGTACAAGATCATACATTTGATCCAGTTCCTGGTAAAACCACTCAGGCTTTGTTTAACATTCCCATTGAATTGAATAGCAGTTGACTCAGCTGAGATGTGGTTATGGAAGAGAGGTCTAAAACTGGCTTGATCAAATCTGGTTTGGAGATAGGATGGGGTATCTGAGGTTGGGAGGGTAAAAATCACCTAATTACAGAGTGAAAAGAGAGCTGTGTGTGCAGCCAGAGGATTGACTTGGATATGCAAAAGGTGTTTATATATTGAATAATTTACAGCAGAAGAAAAACACCTGGGACAGTTCTTGCTGAGGTGACAGTGACTTACACAGACTTCTCTAACAGTGAAGTTAGAGAAGTCTGGGTAAGTGACACAAACATTTCAGCTGAATGCATGGCTAATGCAGGCGAGGAGCAGCCAAGCAGGAGGGGCACTAATGCACCCAAATGTCCCTGACAAGCCCCACCTGGGATCACCCCTACCCTGCCATGGAGGCTGTTTGAGTTCAGCCCTGGATGCTCCTGCTGTGTCCTGGCAGTGACACCACAGGACTGATTCCTCTTCCTTGAGGTGCTGCTTTCATGGACAGCTTAGGTGAGAAAGTGGTGAATAATGTGCTCTGGCTGGCTCATGTGCTCTCACTGCCTGATCTATGAATGGGCTAACACTTCATTCTGACAAGGTGCAAACACTTTAAATATATTACAGGCAGCTAGAGTAGAAGCAAAGATTTCATTAAGATTTCTTTTTGAAACACAAGGTGTTACCAAAATAGCAGACTTCTATTAAAAAAGAAACATTGCTGAGAAAAATCACTTGTGAAAACCTTCGCTAAAGACAAATTAGAGTGAAAAGCCTAACAACAGCAACAGAAAGAAGCATAAGAGCTGAAGCTCTGGATGTTGTTGGGGAGTACACTGGGTGCAGGGAGCTTGGGGTGCAGCTGCAGAGGAGCTCTGTGGGACCCTGAGGCGGAGAATATGAAAGCTCTAGAATATGAGGCTCTAAATGAAAATAATTACCCATTTATATTCGCACCCTGTGCCCAACAAAGGGCACAGACACATGTGGCCCAGCCAGGTGAGGGACACCCAGGGACAGAGCAGGAGCTGAGGGCTTGGGGGGATTAGCAAGACTTGTGCCTGCCTGGACTGTGAGGGAATAAAAGCCCAGGGGATGCTTTGTTCTGGGGCCCTCCTCAGAGGCACGAGCTCAGGCTGTTATTTTGTCATTGCACCAAGATTTAATTACTTTAAAAACTGGGATGTCCGTGACTCTGCTAAAGGACACCAGGTCTGGCTGTGAGTGGGGTGTGCAGGGAGTTGAGCAGGGTCCCTGTTGGGTCCCTGGGCCACTGCTGTGAAGGGGCTCTGGTGCCAGCAGGGAAAGTCTCTGGTGTTGGGAGCGTGACTGCCAGAGTGCCTCCTGAGTGGTCAGACTGGGAAGTTTCCTTTACAAAGTTTTAGATTTATGATCCCTGTAGGGAGCCCCTTGATCTGTGTTTTTACTCAGGCAGACCCTGTGGGTCATTGCTAGAGCAGATAGACAGGGACTGGGTGAGCCTTTGCCATGGCTCAGCATGGCCAAACTCACTGTCTGGGTCATACAATATGGACAGGTTGACAAAAAGGGGAGAGAGAGGGAGAAGAAAAGGGGAGAGTTTGTTGTTTATTCCAGTCAAAGCACTAGAAAAACATTAGCTGGTTTAGAGAGTAAGAATTAAAGTTTTGTGTGTTGCTCTTTATACAGGCACGAGAATTCCCTGGATTCACGACCTCTTTAGTAAGGCAAGCTACAGGCAACAGCTTTTTCTTATTTAGTCTTCTTTCCCCTCTGAGGCGGGAGGAGTAAGGAGCTGATGAGCAGCACCTGGGACACCTCTGTCTAGACAGGTCTGTTTGCTTTTTATGGGAGAAATTATTTTTTAGCATCCGTGTGTGTACAGTTCCTGATGCAACAGAAGCATCTTTTTGATGCAGAAGCCATACAAAGAAATAACATTTCATTACAACCCATTATGATTTACAGGCTCTGAGGGGGAAAAAATGAGTGCCAGAAGCTTATTGGTAAGGGAGGTCAGGCAAGGAGGAAGCTGCAGGAAAAGCTATCAGTTATCCCTTATTGTCTTTTGAAGAAAGTCTCCAAGTATTTGCAATCTTCTTCCTCAGAAGGAAAGCAAAGTGATCTGTTTCTGTTTATGAGGTCTGGAATAAACACCTATTTAACATGTTCGGCCATTAAGAGGATAAGTAGGGCATAAACATCTATGCAGGCAAATGGAAGACAGAGTAAGGAATTTCTAGTGAGACTTTGGTTGGTTGGTGTTTGGTTTTATTTGTGTCTTTGCATTTAAATGCATTTGGGTTATAACAGAACACTTAATTCTTCCACTGTAAATGTACCGGAGAGCATGTACAAAACAGTAGTGAAGTTTTGGGTGCTTTATCGTCCTTTTTGTAGGTGCAAAACCGTGTTTTGGACCTCCTAACCATCATGGGTTTCTTGTTTCCTGATCTCATCCTCAGTTGTGATTCATCCTTTAACAGGCTGTTCTGAGGCTATGATTGAGTTTAACATTGTTTGATACCCTGTTGTTCTGATGGCTTCATGTTTGAGCACTGGCAGCCATAAGCGCAGATTCCCCTCTTCGTTACCATCTCCATTTAGGTTCTGTGCTCTTGGCACATGGGCACCAGCAGATGCCAGCAAGTGTAAAGGCACTTGTGTACCAGTGCCCTTAAGAGGAGGGACTTTTTGTAGAAGAGGCACAGCTCGCAAACTGCCCATCTAAACTCATTTTGCTTGGCACTGAGGAAACTGGCTCCATCCTGGGCGAGCAGGCGCCGTGCCACGGCAGCAGATGGGGCTGAGGGAGGGGAGCACTCGGGAAACCTTGTCCAACCACCATGTGCATGTGTCTGAGGGCAGGGTTCCCAGCCAGCAGCCTCGGAATGGCTCCCTGTCCTCAGCTCCCAGCTCCAGTTTGAATGGCTTGGTGATAGATTTTTAAGATGTCAGTCCCAGTTTCAAAATGTGGTGTGGTTCTATTGCTCTTGACAAAATTATTTCAGCCTGAATGGTGCACTTATGCAGCATGGCCTGAGAATTGTAACCAACAGACTCACAGAATTATCCTAATATTTGTGTGATACCATAACCAGTATGCTCTGTTTAATATTTTGTAGCATATTCTCCATAGTAGGTCACCTAAAGAAAGTTAGAAACTGTCTCATGCAGGTGGTAAAAAAATCACAAGCTAAATACAGGGGTTGTTACAACCATTTCAAAAGAGAAACAAATATGTTCACCTAAGTTTGTTTGTGGCACTAGTGGAAAAGGCAATGTTAAAAATTAAATAATATTGCAATCTATAATTACCTGTCTATTTCTTACCTCAGTCACAACAGTGCTATGTTTTTGAGGCAGAACAGGAGTTGAGCATTTTGTGGAGCTGGTTGCTACACCTGTGATCCAGCAGGGCTCCTGAGTGCCCCCTTTTATCACCTGATAAAAGCCCTGAACCCACATTCTGAGTCATATGTTGTCTATTTCAGTGACAAATACTCGAGGAATAAAAAGCCACGATTGATTCCACTGATGTGGGTATGTAAGCAATGAGGCAACCCTTCAACCATAAGACCAGTGAGTGCAAGACAAGAATTCTTTCAAACTTCATTTGGTAGATATTGCTTTACAAAAAGCACAATCATCCTAGAGGTACTGCATATTCTGGATAAAGCCATTTTATCTTCTTGAACTGCTGTAAGAACGAGCTTAACATTAACACTGAGGCTGGAGTGACAGGAACAGCAAATTAAAATCAAAAGAAGCAAACAATGTGTAGACTGACTCATGATATTCCTTGATCTGTCTATAGTTGTCACACAGGGCAGTTGTTATTCTCATCAAAACAATTTAATGACATTAATATCAATGTGGTGGCATCATTTGTTTTTGTGATGTTTTGTCACTTCAAGAGAGGTCATTTTTCATACCCTCACTCAAGTACCAAAGTAAGTAGGATAACCATATTTTTTTTATTAAGAAAAAATATGGTTACCCTGCTTACTTTATTAAAAAAATATAATATAAAAAATAATAATTTTCTTGAAGGGTAGAAATACTTGGGACCTGACTGGTACAGTTTTTTGATCTGTTTTGTTTGGTGTTTTGTTTCTTTTAATCGGTTCCCAAATGACAATATCATTGGGATATAAAGTCACCAGGAGAGAGGAGACTTTACATCCATAAAGTTATGTACAGCAGTAATTGCCCTGACAGTAATAAAGTTAGTTACTGAAATTAGTAAAATTAAGTACAAAGATATAGGCTTAAGAGGAGACTTTGCAATCACTATAATGTACTCTTAACTTATGCCTGGTGTCAGTCTCTGCTGAAAACTCCAGGGAGAAATTTGGGATGTCCCGTTGCTGGCAGTGGCATGGGCTCTTCCTGTGTGTCCCCAGCATTGTCCCTGCAGCCTCTGCCACTTCCATGGGCTAGGAAAGCATGGATGTGCAGGTCCCTATAGGTAGTTTTCAGGAAAAAAGCATCAAGTGAAAACAGTAATTGTATTTTGGGACCAGCGGGGCCCTGAGGAGACCTTGGATCTTGTTTGGTTGGTGTCACTCGGCTTAATTCAGCAGTTTCATTTTGCAGTGTAGGCAAGTCTCCGGGGTGGATTGCATTGCAGGTACATAGGGCTTGGAATGAGGTTTTCAAAAATCCCCATATGATCTGTTCAGGTAGCAGAGATCAACATCCTAATACCCTCATACATTTGGCTTTTTTTTTTCTCTTCAGGGCAGAAGGATTTCAAATATTATACCAAACCTCTGGTTACCTGTCAGAAAATGCTTTCCTTGGGAAATATAGAACAAAACCAAACTTTAACAAAGCTGCTGAATTTACTTTCAGCTTTGGGATTCACTGCAATACCCCTTACACAGGTCCTACATTTTGTGTAGCACAGAACCATCCATAACAACAGCGAGGAATTGACTGGGGATCTGCTTTCCTCTAATACTGGCAAGAAAAGGGAAAGCTGAGACCAGTTAGGGCAAAGAATACAATCCCAGCTAAAAAAAATAAATCCTCTCCTGTTTTAATAATACTTTGATTTAAATGCGTTGCAATGTATTTCTTGTAGCAGGAGAGCACCAACACATTGCATTGCCCTTGCTGACTGAATGGTAATTAATGCCCATTCATAGAAATATATTGATAATATGTTTAGCTTGCATAGTGAGAGCTAGCATATTATTTTTGGATGGGGACTTTTTTTTGGCCTTTGGAGTGGTACTGCATATTGAGGTTTTATTTCCCTCAGCTATTCCATTACCAGAATGAAATGCCAGCAGTTAATAGGATGGCAGAGTAAATGTCACAAGCTGAAGGGACCACAGGAATGTGGATTTGCCACATGTAGGAGCCGTGTTTTATTACAGCGCAATGTGGAATTTATGAGCATTGCTATAATATTCTAGATATGCCTCTCTGGAAATATCTGATATATATCAGTGCTAAAAGTCAGTATACTGCAAAATCAGCTCCCTCCTGCTCTCTGTACCTTTCTTAGATGCTCTGAAGCTATATAGTCCCAGTAATGTACTGTCAACTAAAGCAGGTAGAACCAGCCCCTGCATATTATTTATTGGCCTGTGGATGCAGATTGCAAACACACTTTATTACCTGCTAATTTACCACCTGCTGGCTGAAGGATGGCCAAAGTCTACTATTTGTTTTATAGGAATTCATTATGCCATTAACCTTTCACTCCTGTAGGCCACGAGCAAGAATCTCCTCAGTTAAATCACTCCTGTAATAATGCACTACAAATGAAAACAATGATTTATTGCACCCCACAAAGACTAATAAACATAAATTATATCCTAATGCTCTGTGTGTTGCAGATGATTGTGTGCACAACTAGTTACTCTTTCCAAAAATTGTTCTGGTCCCCTCTGAAACTTTTTACTAAGAATCGTGCCCATTTTGGTGCTTCAGGGAACATTTTCACATTTTGCTTTGTAATAACAGAGATATCATCAAAGATGATGTGGTTTCTGTATTTAGTTATTTTTTAAGGAGGAAGAAGAAAAATAAAGGGTAAAGCAGCAGCAGTTTCCCCCTCTCCTTTCAGCTATTACTGCTCTCCTGTGTGGACGGCAGTGAAGGCATGACGTGTAGTCCAAGGGTGATCCAAAGAGACATTTATATCCCTCCTTCTCCAAGTCATAGCAAAACTTTCTGCACATTTTCTAGAGCTTCAATAAATGTTTTGTGGCAGTGTACTGCTGCAGTGAGTGCAGCATGACACTCTATCAGTTCTGTATTTTCTGCACCTTTCTGATAGCCTAAAAAATCTGTCCTACCCATTTCAAGCATTGCCAATTAAAAAAAAAAATCCTCTGCAGTATGTGACATTCACCTTGATACCAGTGACATTCAGAGAGCCTGCTGATTTTTAAGCTAGTGATTAAGAACTGTCTGAAATAGTTTCACACATGGTTTGTAAATCCTCAGTCAGAGCTTTTCCATCAGTGCCGCTGTTAAATATTTCTCCTTGGCTTTGCAGGTGTATTAACAAATTCCTTTGCAGGAACTCTCTGTCTTGAAAATGAAATAATCTCTTTCCTCTTGTAAACATTTATTTTCTACAAATACAAGAGCTGCTAGCCAATGCCTATAATGTAGCACAATTGTGCACCAGATAGAGGTCAAGCTAGAACATAACCAAAAAACAAAAAATCCAGAAGTTTTCCCCCTCAGAAAATTCACTGGTCCCTTGTGCTTACATGAAATGCAGAAGTTTAAATTATCTTATCAGAATGGCAACATCTATTTACATAATTTCAATTGATCACATAAAGCAGCAATTGACAGGGTAGTCTCTGTCCTGTTTAAATAAATGCTGTGTGTCTGAAAGGGTTGCAGAAAATAAGGGCATTTATTCTGTTTATTTCCAGAATAGAGTTGGTACAGCTGATTTAAATCCTCATGACAGTTTGTACCTACTGGGGGTAAGGGGGAGAAGAACAGTATCAAGCTCCTCTGAATCTCAAAGTTATTGCCATCATGCTCTTAGTGATATTTTGCTCCTTTGATATTTTTTAGCTATGGAGTTGGATTGCAAAATAAGAAGAAAGAAAAAACTGCAAGGAGTTCCTGCAGCCATGACTGCAAGCAGCAGCAATCCCAGTGTGCCCTGACCTGTAGGAAGGCTGTTGTCTGGAAGGTAGGCAGCCTCTCATCATTTGGCTGAGTTGCCACTTGCTAAATAAAACCTCTTTTCTTGAAGGCTTGTTTTGCAAGGCCTCCTCAGCTCTGACTCAAAACTGTACACAGGAGCACAGGGTGCAGTCCTGTTAATCGTGTGGATGGAGGGTAGCAATGGCATTAAGCACTCCCATGGGCACTGGGCACTTCAATCTGTATGGCTTGTTCTAAATCCCAGCTAGCAGTGCTTTGTAGTTTGGGTCAGAATTTGGATTAAAAATCTTGGTTAGCAACTCTAAATGAAAATAATTACCCATTTATATTCCTGCCACTAAGGCTGAGTGTTATGTTCAGGAGTAACACCCAAGGAGCCCAGAGGACAAGACCCTTGGGCAGCTGCACAGCTCTGCCCAGAGCCTTCCTTGGATTAAGTGCACTTCTAGATCATTTGGTAGGCAATAATCCAGTTTAATCATATGCTTGAGGCAGAGGAAATTACTTAAATTAGAATCTATTTATTGCTAGTGTGATCAACTTATGTTCATCGTGTAGCTCGTTTATTTAAGGGGGACTCGGCCACTGTGATCTATGTACTAATAATATTAGTGTTTACTTCTTTATCTGAAAAAATAGAGGTGGTCAGTGGCTCAACTGCAGTAGTTCATATCAGATCCTGGGTCAGGGTCACAGCTGAGTTGTTGAAAGACTTTGTTCTTTTGGTTTCTTGATTTTCAGAGAAAAATTTTTGCACTCACACTTATTCTTCTTTCTTCTGTCCCACTCATCCAACACTTCTTGATAACTTCTGTATTTATTGGCCTGTTTCAAGCAAAGTTGGCAGCTCTGCCTGAGCTGGGGTCTCATAGCTATGAAGTGCCAATGGTTTTCATTAAAATCACTGTTTTGGCATGTGCTGTAGTGTGCCTTTGGTGAAAGTGGAAATGTTCCTTGTTCTTCCTGCCAGCAGCCTGAGTACCCACACGGCTCTGGGCACAGCATCTGTGTCTGGCAAGTGAGGGAGCAAGTAAAGGTGCACAGAAGAAGCTGAGGACCATTTGGGAGTCCTGCTAGGAAAAAGAGGGAAGTGGATGTTTGTTTGTCATGACAGAGGAGGAGTTGGGAAGAGTGGGATCAGCAGGTGAGATGGGAGGCAAAGGAGCTTGATTTGCAGTAGTAACTGGGTTAACAGTTTACAGACAGCATAGAAGATGGATGTCTCAGATGTGCAGGAAATCAGGCTTCATTAGTTCTGCTCCTTGCAGAAAAACATGTTATTAATTGCCTTTGGTCTCCAGGGGAACCACTGGCCTCGTTTGAAACTATTCTGCTGCTTATTGTCTGAGCGCTGAGGCATGCTCTGAACAGAGGGATGTCTTTGATGCTGATAGATCAAACTCTGCACTGAAATCTGCTGAGATGAGGAAGCCTGAATCAGCAAAGCCAGCTTTTAAGGAAACAGAGATCCCTCTGTGGAATAACGAAACAAGTGCTGCTAGAGGCTGGAAATATGAAGTCTGTGCTCTCTAAAGCTCAGCACTCTCTGGGGCCCAGCCAGCAGCCTGGAGGACAGAAGAGAAATTACTTGAGGATTTCCATCCAAGGAGGAAAGGAGCCCTAAGTGACTGTGTGTAGGAGTGCATGGACAGCCTGATATGATGTGTGGTTAATGCCTGTTCCCATGCTCGCATGCTTGGAATACACAAAGCAGCAGCATTAGCAAATGCTCTGCAGTGATAGGAAAAATTGCCTGGGACTTTATTTTCCTCTAACTCCTAATACATATTGAACCTGTATATTTAGTTTAAGGCTTTCCACCTGTCCTTTTGGGTAAGAATTCTGACACTAAGAACTATTTTCTGCACGGATGAAGTCCAAGTCACAAGTTTGTTTAATCTCTTAAATCTCTTACTGCAAAGATCTGTGAGGGCAGAAAAAACATTGCATCATTTTTGGAGAAGTAGTTCCCAGCTCTGATTTTGTTCTTCAGCTCACATCCTGCCTGTCTTTGCCTTTTTTCTTCCACTGTAATAACCTGATATAGGTCTGATTATTGCTTGCAAAGGTAGCCAGTTTGTAGATGTGCCTGCCGGAGGTGTGTGACCTAAATGACTAGATGCTGCTAATTTATGTGGAAACACATTTATGTGCATGAACCCATGCTCTGTACTTCTCCAGAGGAGTAGGGTACATTTGCCTCTGTGAGTTTCTCTGGATCTTCTGTGATGAAATTTTCAACTGGGTGGGCTCTGGTTTAGTGCTGCAAGCTTGTGATGCAGTTATCTAAACCCCAGGCAAGTTTCACACAGCAACTGCAGTGTTCACTGCTCATGGGTGAGGAATTGTGAAGAGGTTTTGGATGAGATAGAGACAGGGCCTCTGAGTTTTTTAGATGATACAGATGATTTTTACTATCTTGTGCATAGGCAGGAAGGGTGAGTTTGGCTCACATCTTCACAGCATGGTTCAGAAGGTCACAAGACCCCTAGTGATAAGACTTTTTAAGGATTTATTGACCAGTAAAACACTGCCAACAAGGATATTTAGGTTTGTGATCCAGTCCTTAAATATTTTGTCTTATGGACTCATGCTACAGTTTAAACTTTCTTAGCCAATCATGTTATGACACACAGACCTACAGTAACTGTACTCTAAAACTCCAAACTTTCTTCTACTTACCTTAATGTGTCTCTGCTTTAAACTGTAAATCCACATTCTCTCTTCTAACACCTACGTTTGGAAGCCTTTTCCAAGGTCTCAGATCAAATCCAGTGTTTAATTCTAAGCTTTGGCTTACAGGCCCAGTGTTATGAGAGTTCCCTGCATTTCGGATTCCAACACTCATTCTGCTTCTGAAGGAGCAGCTTGAGCAGAAGCAATAACACACAAGTGAAATTTGGTTTGAACCACTACTCTCTTTGACAGAATTCGTGTAACAGGAGAATATTTTTGAAGGAGTGGATAGGCATAAAGCATACACTGCATGTACAGAGCAACACGTGACTGACTGGTTTTCTTAATGGATTGGGTTTTAACCCAGTACAGTTGATAATGGTGTTTAAATTTTAGTTGCTATGTCAAAATTGTCTAACAGGAGAGGTTTCAATTATATGGCAGCATAATTACATGTTCTAGAAATGTCTGGACATTCACTTAGTGCCGTGGTCTGGTTGACAAGGTGGAGATTGGTCAAAGGCTCGACCTGATGATGTTGGAGGTCATTTCCAATCTAAGTGATTCTTTGTGATAATAGCTTAGGGGCAAAAGAAATTTGGGAAGATTAGTCAGTGGAATACTTATTTTGTGGGAACTTTGGAAAGGCATTAAAGCAGACAAGTACATTAACAAACTTAAAGTAAGCTTTTTATTACTTAATATTTTTTCACCAAAATTCAAAGCTTTGGCACTCTAAGTAAAGCAGAAAGTGGAAATCTCAGCAGCGCTGCATTAATTTTTCAAGCCCTAATGTGCCAGACAGGGAATAAGTTATTACATCTATTGCCCTCTGGGAGGAAGAATGAAAAGCACAAAAATGATTCTTCTCTGTTAAGATGGAATAACTGGATAATAGCTGATATAAGCAACGGCGTTGCTGCAGAAAAGCTTACAGCAGCTTGTGTGTCATCATTAGGAGTGAACATTCCTCTGTATAACTAGTGTAGCAAGATTAAGAAACATGGCAGGCCTTATTTGTTCTTCTCATGGGGCCTTTTACAATTATGGGGGAATTTCAAGTGAGTGCCTCGTGTGCAGCTGCTGATGATCTGTGTGAGACACTCCTTTCTTCCCGCTGAATTCTGAGCCCATAGACATTGCTTTCCGGATCCACAGGCAGAAATACAGTTGTCCATGGCAAGTTTATGAGAGCAATATGGCACTTCAAGCCGTGGTGCCTCTAGGCAGGTTAGGGATTTGTTTGCCACGAGCCTGGCTCTTGGGTGGGCTCCTGGAGATGATGAACTGAGTCCATAAAATCCTAGTCCTGCTGACAGGCAGTAACACTTGCTAAGTTCTTTGGTGACTTGTTTTCCAAGGGAGAGCCCTGGAGGCTTCTTATTAATGGTTGTCTTCTCTGTAAATACACTCATAAAGCTTTCTAAGTATTGTGATAACATGGCAAGTAAACAATGATAACCCCAACAGAAAATATGGGAATTACTTGTGTGTCCATGAGCTCACCTGGGAATGAAAGTACCAAAGCACCATCCCCACGCTTCACTGGTGCCTCGAGCTAAATATCTCACTCTTTTGTCATCCCCAAGAGGTATGGAAGGCTTCAGTATCAGGGCATGGAGCCAAAGAAGAAAAACAATGTGGATTTTTAGAAGGCTCTTTATCTGCCTGTCTCCTTGGAACATCAGATATTACAGTGGCATGTGGAACCGGGAAGGCATATGGACAAAAGGGATGAAAGCACTTTAGGCTCTCTCAAATCAATTCCTTTCATTGGAGAGAATATTAGAATGCAATGTGTAGATTTTTATCTTCACCTCTAATCGACCTTAGTACAGCCCTATATAACATGCTTTGTTGTGGGTGCTGCTGGCTTGTGAGTCAAAGAAAGCTCATTTCTGATGGAAGCAACTGCACTGAGGGTTTCCATGCACATTTCTCTCATTAAATCTGAACTGATTCTCTTTCTCTGGCCTTGTCAGGGGTTCATCTGAGGCCTGAGATACAGCAGGCTGTGACAATTTACTGTGCTGCGGGGTGTAATGCATAAACAATGGCTATTTTAAGGCTGATGTGAACTAATAGAGGAGTAAGTGCAAACTAAACCTTATGGAAACGTTGTGTCCCTGATTTATTGCAAACACCATCTAAGTGTATTTGTGTATTGAGGCAGACTAGGGGTAGTCCTCTACTGTTCCCTGCAAGAGTTCTTTAATTTTCTTAATGCTTTCATTTGCATTGAGCAATGCCAGGGGAGGTATCAGTATGTGGATTTAGCTGAAATCAGCTTTTTTAAATGTGGTTCAGCACTCTATTTAATTAAGGGTTATTGGAAAGCTTCCACCTCTT